CCCGCTGGTGATCCTGACGATTTTTTTGGGAAGCCTCGATGCATCGAAAAATTCGATGTATCAAAATGCCTCCATCACTCCTCTTCATTCAGCAAATGAACTTCTCTACGCTCCTCTATAAGAGCCATTGACAGAGATGGAGGCGCTGTGATGAAAAGCTCACTTTTCGAAGCTTACTTTTCTTGGCTGAAAGTTACTGTGAGTTATAACAGCAACGGTATTAAGAAGATGAAGGCAAACCTGCTCGGCACTGTGGCGAATGATTCTGCAAGCTTTGCAAAAGCTGCTGCTGGTGCAAGAAGCTGGCGTAGTACTGCTGCAGTTGCGGGTTGAAAAGCGACAGTTGAGCGGCCATCTGGCTCGGGAACACCGAGCTGCTTGCAGCCGCCGCGCCAGACGTCACATTCGGGAAAGCGGCGGCTGCGGCCATGAAAGGCAAGCCTGGAAAGGCCATCGCTGCGGCAGCAAATCGCTGCTTCTCCTTGTCAGCCTCACTGCTGCTGCTTCCGCCGCTGCTACTACTTGAGGGTAATGAGCACATTCTCGGCAACGACATCACACGTAATATCTGGAATTTCTTTGATTTAATGACAAAACGCTACCACTGTTGCTAGGACTGCGATGGGCCTCTGACGTTTGAAAAGCAAACAGTTCGCAGGAAGAGGTGGTGAAGCTGGGAACGGTGATGACAGGCTGGGAATTGAATGTGGGTGCTGACTTCCGGAGTAGCCGATTACGCTGAGAAGTACAAAGGCACTCGACATTCCCACCCGTCCCTTGGTCTATTTAGCCAGTTTTATGATAATTAGCTCAGCTCATGATCACCGATTTTTTCCGGAATCCTTCAGAGGCACTGCTGCTTCTGTTAGGATTCTTAATACGGTTTTCTGGTTCATTAGTTTCTCTTAAAGCAATTAAGCTGGTGATGCGTTTCATCGCGCAATCGCTAGCATAACGCAGATATTCTAAGAATCGCGTATTAGATTTATAACATTCACTGCAAAAATAGTAATTCGTTCAAAGTACTCCTACTAGTCACTGTCAGTCGTTTCTAGTTTCACAGCACTAACACATTAATTTTTAAAAAAAATTTCAAACTGTGGTTTTTGCGAATTTTCGAGCCTTGGTTTTCCGATAATCCTGTACCACTGAAGTTTGCGATCCTCGGACGTGCGCTGTTGTACTATGAATATTTATTTGTTACTAGATATTACCTACTGAGTTTAAGCAAAATTATAAATGCTGCTCGGGAAGTAGATATTGGCTACTAGTGAGGTATATTGGAAATAGTGAAAGCTGAAACCTGTATATGAATAATAACTTAGCTCAGATTAAGGCATCCTCCTTCCCCTCAACCTTTTTGCCTCCCCCTTCTTCATAAAGTACCCGCGCACGCTTTTCAAAAAAAGTCAGAATGAAGGAGCATAAGCTCCCGAGCAGCTTTTGTGGGTGTTAAGATTCATAGTGGGCTATTTATCGCGCTGATATCGGCTGCGATCTAGGGCATGCGGCCCAGGTACAAGAAGTGCTCTCCATATCCAGCATCATATGTTTGCACTATTTGAAACTTTTATGCAGTCATGTGATGTGGGTTTTCCAGCTCCCAGAGCGACAGTAGCAACAACTTTCATAAAACGAAAATAAAAAATCACTCAGACTTGAAATGATGATTTTAAAAGTACCAAATATGGAACAAAATTGATTATTTGCTAATAAGCCTTCATCCCGTCCTCCGCTCCCTTACTCTCTCTGCCTTCGCCTTCTCGACACAAACTTCCGCACACGCTTTTCAAAAAAAGTCAAAACCGATTCCGTATGCACTCTCTAATGACACGCAAATGCACTAGGGGCCTTGCCCGAGTGGTAGTGAATGCCAACAATCATTTGCTGACAAGGCTGTCAACGGCTTTTCCTTTCAAGCAAGCTGATGGCCAGCCTGACTGCCTGCCATGTGTAAGTGCCAATTTATCATCGAAATTAATAAACGAGTCGAAGAAGAAAGCGTACGCATTTAGTTCGTTTTTTTAAACAAACAAAAACATTCACACATGCATGCACATACAATATTTTTTGAAAATACTATTTTAATAAATTTTAAAGCAAAAATCGTTCTGCACCGCCGCTGCAACGACCGCGACTTTTTGTAAATGTCTATAAACTCATTAAGCTGTAAAGGCGAATATATCGCCT